ACGGAAGATGTGTGAAGGGAGGTGCTCTTATTCCTGCGAGGAGCTTTGGAGTGGTCCCACCAATCCGGGTACCCAATTAGTTCATAACAGCGAGCACGATTATGTTTGTTCCCACCACAATGAGTGCATTTGGTTTCTGGACGAGAGCTTGTGTTCTGAGTCTGAGAAGCGCCACCGGTAGAGGGTGGAGGGCCCCTCGGACGTTGAGTGGCCAGAACCGCAGTGTCTGGAGTACTGGCCATGATCAGTCGTTGTTGAGCTTCGCGACGTACATATGCAAAAGTTTGGTCAAGATCCAATTTGGGGTCTTTGCGCAGGATCTCCCCCCGGACTTGATCAAACTGAGGATCAAACCCGGCAAGGAAAAGGTGAACACGAAGACGATCCAGTTCAGTCTGGCGCTCAGTGATGTCGGCGTCACAGTGCATGCGATTCGGGGTGCGATGATCAATCTCCTGAAAGATGGTCTGCAGTTGGCTGTAGTATTTGTGGACGGGAGCACCATTCTGTTTAATGGTGAACGCCCGTTTGTTGAGATCAAACAGAAAAGTTTCATCCCCCCCATCAAAGTAGGTTTTCTTCACGGCATCCCAGATTTCTTTGGCGGTACTAAAACGGATGAACCGACCCATCAAGTCTGGAGACATGGAGTCGATGAGCCACCCTTTGACCCGAAAGTTCGCCGTACACCATTGGTTGTAAGTGGAGGAGGACTTAGGGGGCTGCGGAGTGTCGCCGGTGAGGTACCCCAATTTTTCGCGACTAGCAATACGTAACTCCATGACCTGAGACCATAAGGCATAATTGGTCTCGGTCAAGGTGATGCCGGTAGGAAACGGAGCGTTGTCACTCTGAATAGTAACAATTTGGGGGGATGAGGAAGTGGATTCGGTGGTTTGGGAAACGATATCCATGGCAGCGGAAGGAAAATAGGTAGGGTGTCGGGGTTGTGTTTAGGGTTTCGGGATACAGGATTCAGGATTCAGAGTGTAATTAAGGTTTCGGGTTGTGTTTAGGGTTTCGGGATTTAGGATTCAGAGTTTCAGGATTCAGGGTTTCGGGATTCAGGAGTCAGAGTTTCAGGATTCAGGGATTCGGGATTCAGGATTCAGGGATTCAGGATACGAGGATACGGGTTTGAGAAATTCAATACGAGGATTTAGAGACAACCTAGGATCGATTGCTCTGATACCATGCTAAAATATGAATACGAGTTTTCAATATGTTTAGATTATTTATTCTTCTCCATAAGGAGGTATATATATAGGTTTACAGAGTGCTTTACAAGGAATAAGATACTATCAGAAATTAGGAAAGTATCTCCTAATTATACGCAGATTTGTCAACTAAATGGAATGGGAAAGTAAATCCTTTAATTAATCAAGGAAATAATTCTCCTTGATTAATTAGGAGACTCACGTCAACATGAGGTGCATCGAATGTGAGGCTGGTGAATAGGGGAGGTGCGTCGCGGAGAAGGGGCGGGGAACATCGGGCTGGTGCTTGGTGGTTGGGAGGCAACTGGTGGCTGGGTTCGTGGAGACTGATGGTTGCGTAGGTTTTCTTTTCTTTTTCTCTACTCTTTTTTTTTTTTTTTCTCATTTTTATGCTTTTTAATATGTTTGTTTTTTAAAAGAAAATAATATTTAATTAAGTTTGTGGTCTACATGGAGGCCCACGTGAGCAAAAAAAATGGGATCCACATTTCCCAAGTCAGAATTTAATGGATTTATCAACAATTTGACTAACGAATGGTGTATTTTGAAAGGTTCCATGAAATTTGTGTATCGGTCAAATAGGTCAATAAATGTTGGGTATGAATTTGTAATGACCCTTATAGTTTGGAGGATTTACTGTAGTTAATCCTATATTTTTACGGAAAATTTGATGGAATTCAAAAAACTTGACAACAATGGCGACATTGGCTATTTTTATAAAGTTTAATTCCTTAAATTGGTTGAAGGATTTGGAAGATAAATCAAAACTAGAGTAATAATTGAAGGGGCAAACTTAAAAGTGGGACAAAAAATAAAAAGAATGGTTTGAGGAATTACCAGCCGGTCCATGGACTGCGGGCCTTTTTTGGGCTCAAAGTCAAGGGCCTGAACCAGATGAACTGACGGGCTTAAATCAGGCCGGGCCGAAGCCCGCGGGCCTGATAGAACACAACGGCATGATGGGACGGTGAACTGGCTGGCTCCAAGGCAGTATTATTTTCCCAGTCGCTTATCTGCCCTTGGCGCCTGTCTCTCACAACAGAGAAGAAGAAGAAAATAGGGAACCACCTGTGCCGATCCTAAACATTTTGTTTTGGTATACAAGGTTTATTCAATTATTTTCTTTTTCATTTTAATTTGTCCGCCATAGTTGTTATCTCTGTTGAACTAAGATATACGATGTTAAAAGGTACGTAAATCTGATTATACATGAAGTAGACATTTTCCGTTCTTGGTATTTCTTGATTCATTGATTGCGTAACCTTTCTCGGGCTTATATTATTCCTGAATGAAAGAATAAAATAGAAAATCATTTATGCTTGAGTATTCATCTTTCAAAGGAAATTACTTGTAATGTATGAAATAAAATGTGAGTTTAATTTATTTTAGTTGTAATGAAATGATGAAGCATACCCATCGAAATTCAAGGGTACTGTTTTTGTATATATGGCAGGAAAGTAACCGTGTTGCTGATTTGCTGTAGTGGGTATCAAAATTTTCCCGGATTGTAAATTGGGTTCTTGACCATAAAGAGAAAGAATTGGTGAAAAACATTAATGGGGAATAATATGAGGGAAGAAATCATGATTTTGGATTGGAACCAGGAGCCTCATGATTCAGTGATCAGATTAGAATCCATACTCAATGAGCTTGAAACTGCCAATGGACGCATTGAAGAACGCATTGAAGAACGCATCAGACTACTAGAAGCAGTCACCTTCAGGGCTAGGCAGCGTGATAGGTGGCTACAACCTCATGCTTCCCCTCAGATGGTGAATATCACTGCAGGAGTTGGAGCTTCTGATGCACTAAATGAAGGCATTCAGAATGGGAACGATGCTCTAGCTACCCAAGAAACAGTGGAATCTGGCAAAACCAACAGAGGTGACAAAATGCATTTGGTAGCCAAGGCACTGGGGATGGAGACGAATGCTAAAAAGGCAGAGTCTCGTTCTGGGAGCTTCTTTGATTGTAAGATATGCTTCGACATGGCAAGAGATCCTATATTGACATGTTGTGGTCATTTGTTTTGTTGGCCATGCTTCTGTCAGTTGCCATATGTGGATTCATATGCAAAGGAATGCCCTGAGTGTAAAGGAGAAGTTACTGATAAAAGTCTAATCCCAATTTATGGGAACGGGGATGGTAACTGTTCTCGCAAGTCAAAGGAGTCTGTTCCGATGGCCCCTCCTAGGCCCCATGCAAACAGGATTGATGGTTTTAGGCAACAGCTTATTAGTCGAGGAACATCTTCTATTTTGATTGAAGAAAGGATTCAGCAAATTAGTGACATAGTTGGTGCAATGGGGGAGAGAAGACGGTCACAGGATCTTCTCGGTTCACATATCATGGCTGAAAGAACTACTTTCGTGCCCAGATCCCAGGCATCACCTGCCACTGAGACAACAAGCCACCCGCAGCATGATTCCCTTCAAGTTTCAAGATTATTACAAGGAGCTGCTTCAGTATCTTCCTTTTCTTCAGCATTGAATACTGCAATGAATTCTGCAGAAAGATTAGTCGAGGACCTCGAGGCATACAGTAGTAGTCACCATGTGAGAAGAAACCAGCAACAATCTCCACATATTGGTAATGGAGATACATCTTCAAGCATCGCTGCAGTTTTACACCCAGATAGCCAGACTTCTGATACTGCAGCTGAAATCAATTCTGATGTGCTCCCTTCTGATTCTTTTTTAAGAACTGATACTGTTGTTGTGGACTTGGAAGACCAGACAACGGATTCAGAAATAAATTCTACATTGCCCTCTTCTTCTTCTCGGAGAAGAACTAATCCAAGAGGTTCTGACGTAAACAATGGACATTCATCTGAACGTAGAAGGAGAAGGTTGAGATAAACAAAAAGCTGTTTCCCTGGAGAAATAGATCAAAATGATGCAAGGTTCCTCATTGTGATACTGACGTTTGCAGAAGGTTTCAGATTTTTTCTTCATATGGCTGTGTATGCCAACCATGTATGAAGTTCCGACTGCTGTTAATAGCATTTTTGAATTCATTCTGTAAAAAGATAGTCAAATGTGTTGTATGGCATCTGGTTATGAATAAGAACACAGTCATGTCTTCTTATTTCCAAGAATTGAACTTTCCATGGAATTTTCAGTGTTGTCCTCATTCAAAGGATGTATTGATGATAGTTTCTGGTGTTGTGCCATGGCACAGGTGCCTTTCTGTGCCCCAAAGAGCAGTTCATATGTGTAAGTCTTATAGATACTACTTCTAGTTTTTATGTCTACTAGGTGCTTTATATCTTGGTATATATATCTACTACTAGCTTTTGAAATCATCAGCTGCTAGTTCTTCAATCTGATACTTTCTTGGATTTTGTTATCACAAGTCCAAAACTAATAGCTAGGTGAAGCGTTCTTTTACCAGACACCAATCTTCTCAGTATTTTTCATTGCATTATTTGAAAAGTGTTACAATAAGAACATTTTAATCTATATTTGCCACCCCAACCCTCTAAGTTTGGAAGAAGAAATAAATATAAAGTGCAATGGGATTTTTTGTTGTCCCATAACGTAAGCTGCGCCCTGGTATGTTAAATTTGACTTCTTGAAACACCTTGGACATGCAGGTGAAGATCAGGACTGCATTTTTCAATTGGCTTTGTATGGGATTTTGACTTCTAGTTCTAGAGGTCGACTTTCTATTAAATTATACTTTTGCTTTAAGAACTTAATGCTAATGCCTTTTAGGATGGCAGAAATGTGACAAGGTAACAAATCTAATAACTCAAAATTCAAAAAGGATTTTGATCACTTTTTTTCAACTTCATTCTTCTTAGGTTTTGATGTCTGAATCATTAATAGGTATCTAATTTTTACTTTTTTTATGTATGATTTTGGTGTCTACTACTTTGGGTCAATATGCATCCAAATCAAATAGCCACCTCAATATCCCACTTGAGTTGCAGCACGTATCTTTTCAAAAGTCTTTTATTAGTGAAACGGCATTCTTTTGTGTCAAATTGCATTTGACAAATTGTCCTCATCTTTAAATGTCAGTCTATTATATTCTTGGTTGCAATGTGCAAGATTCATATCTATCAAAAATGATTGAGAGCTATTTTTTCATTTGTTTTACTGGTGTTCTTATGTATAATCATAGACCAGGAGGACAATACTTGCACTGACAAACTCTGAACATCGATGACTTCCAGTTCACCGTCCTTTGGAACAAAAGGTAAACATTTCCCATATTTAGACTCAAAGGCCAAGACAGTGGACCCTCAGTTTATTTATTTGATCTTGGATGTTCTGGCATCTGACTTGTGAATTGCTCACTCTGTTATTAGAAGACCTGATTTTCTTGTTGATTCTGGAGTTAAATGCACCTTACTTTGCTGCTTTCCATATTAGGGCATATAGCATTTACCTCATTTATATTTGTTGTCCGGTTCACCAGCTTCAGTTATGCTTATTTAAGGTGATATGTGAGATGCCATAAAACATTCATAGAACATCAAGTTGATTTCGTCTTTTGTCCATGCCTGATACAGTCCATGAGTATTACATCTATTTACCAAAATGGTTTCTTCTGTGACCAAGAGTCAAGTATACATCCTAAGGTAGTCCGGCGGTGATGACTTAAAGAAGTATCAGCCATTGAGCGCTTATTTAACAGTCTCTTTTGCCTCTCTCATCAAGGAAAACTCGTTACCGCATCCTAGAATGAGAAATACATGTTTCTGGTTAGAAAATGATCTCCTTCCACCTCCTTTCTCTTACTAGTAGTTTTTCTATTGATCACTAAAACTAGTTATAACATTCTGTACTACAATAGAGGAGTTACTCTATGAAAGCACCATCTATATGATTTGGTAACAGTGAAAGTGAAGAAGACCTAAAGAGTAAATCAATATCAATTTTTAATGTGGGATTTTATGAAGGTGCACCTTCTTTTCAATGAATTTGCCTGGCTTTTTCCTATCTTCCTCTATACATATCTCTAGGTTGTACAGCATCCTTGAGGGTTTGGTAATGAAATTGTGACATACTTCATAACTGTATTGGTTTAGATGTTTTGCCTCAAAGATGGTCAATGACTCAATCATAGTGAATCACTTCAGTGAGAAAGATCAGCTTTTGCCAAAAGGTCGTGTTTGGGTTTCAGTTCAAGATTCAAAAAGATTGAAATGCTCTGATAGCAGACAAAGAAGTTTAAAGGAGTAGTTGTTGTTGACATACCATCAGAGGTATTCTTTAAATTTAGAATAGTATTTGGCATGTTTCTCATTGACTATAAATCATGATGTTAACCTCAACCTCTTATGTGAGTTTATTGATTTTAAGCAAAGTTTTTGTAGCATTTCTCAAGTTCCGATTTCCTCTCCCATATTTCCCATCATTTAAATTGCTGCCAGCTTATTATTGTAAGGGTTAAACTTGTTACTAAAAGTGTGTAAGTTTTTCGTTTTGGATTGAATTCTTTTCTTTTTCCTTTATTTTCTGAGACTAAAAGAGAAAAACTGAAATTTTATCAGGCAGGAAAAATTTCTGGCTGGAAAGAAATTTGCCATGGCCGGGTGCAGGGTTCTAATAAGCAACATATGCCAGTTATGAAAACGATGGTTAATCCTCCACTGGTAGATAGGTTACTTGTAAACTTCGAGTCTTCAATCATGTAGAATTGAACCATGCTCCAAGAACCTCATCTGCTTACCAGTTTGCTACTTTACTCAAAGAATTGATTATTTTTACATATGCTGCAAAAGCTTGGGATTTTATTTTGCAGGAGGACTTCGCACTTTTATAGTGGCCTACTTTTGCTTCAAGCGTTCTTCAGCTTGTTGTACCCCAGCCAGCTGATTTGGTCAAGACTAAAATGTTCTGCACTGGAGATTGAAATTATATCTGGGTTAGGTGGAGAAACTTGTTAGTGATGGTATGACCATTTTATTTCTGTTATGTTGTACTCGAATGTTGTTCTAATTTGTGGTTTCCTGTTTATGTGTATGAAATAAAATTTGAATTTTTTTTAGGTTAAAAATATTCATAAGTAAAAAATTAACAGGAAAAAATAAAGAATTGATGTTAAAATAAATTTTGAACAATGAATAAAATTGAGGTATCAATTTTTGAGACTGCAATACAGTGGATACACAGTGATGGCCAATGGAGCTCTTGATTTGCAATTGGTGTGGTTCAAGAATACAAAGATGATGATTGTTTTTGCCCCTCTTGACCGGGCAGAAGCCATGGAACATCCTCGACAAGACCCTCCAATCTTTCTTGCTAAGTGCCAGCTTTCTTGGAAAGGTTTGGTGAATTTCAGTAATGGGACTCTGTATGTGGAAGGGTTTTTACCATCACCGGTGGGATTATGGGTGGAGCAGCTACGGTACAACTGCCGTGGGATGGGATACTGGGAACAAAGAATATATTAAGAAATGCGAGGTAAGAAAAGTCTCTTTGTAGGAGAGGCTGGAGCTAATAATAAGTGAAGTTGATAAATAATTGGTGTGTGGGATTGCTTCTATAGAAAACACTTCTTCAGATAAGTGCTTTTACTAGAAAAACGTTGAAATTTTTGTAAAAAGCTAAGCGCTTCATTAAAATGCTTTTGGAAGAAGTACATAGCAAGTGTTTCTTCAAAAAGCGGTTTTATGACCCATAAGCACTTTAAAATTTTCTACTAAACGCACTGAAAAGCACTCCCAAACACTGACCACTAGTCATGACCATGGATGCCTTTTCGGTTTGTTTTTCCTTGCGCAGAAGATGATGAGAGTGATTAAGCATGAAGCATGAACAATGTTTGCGGTATGTCTGGCAACTTGTACATTTTGGGGGCCAAGTCAGTCGGGTTATGTTTAATTATGATGCATGTAATGATTCTAATGATGATGGATGACTGACTGCCAGACATTTTGACAATGATATTTTTCCCATCGTCATCCCTTTCCATGATTGCTTTGCAAATTGCATTGCTCTTCTTCACAAACCTTATCATTCAATTCATCGCATTTGGCCGGCCTCCAATCTTTTTCACCAATCATTCTTCCAATATCCTTTTCTTGTTTTTTTCTTCCTTTTTTTTTTCTATAAATTATACATAAAAGTCCATGCAAATATAATATATATTATGGCATCAATTTTGGATTTATGATTTTCTATATATAATTTGTAAAATGAAAAGATGTGATGGCAACTTTCCAAATTCTATCAAATCAAGTTCGTATTATGACAAGTGAGAACTAAAAGAACTAGGACATACTGATTAGAGGGGTAACAAATAACAAGTTGACAAGCCTTTCAGTATCAATACGCTGGAAGATTGTGATCTTTTTCCCTTTTTCTTCAATTAAAGAAAGTTGTGGAATACTGTTAACCACTTGCATATTCGGCAGGTGTGCTCGATATCATTAATAATGAAACCATTCATTATGTGTTATATTTTATTTAATTATGAAAAATTACTAGACTTACTACCACAACAAATCCTAGCATTACCCTTTGATTATTATTCGGCTATCGTACTTCATATTCTTCAACAAATACAATATATTATTAATTGTAAATAAAAGGTTCGGTTAGGGTGAGGAATTGAATTGGTCGATGAGAAGGAAGCTGATGTTATATTTTATTTAATTATGAGAAATTACTAGACTTACTACCACAACAAATCCTAGCATTACCCTTTGATTATTATTCTGCTATCGTACTTCATATTCTTCAACAAATACAATATATTATTAATTGTAAATAAAAGGTTAGGTTAGGGTGAGGAATTGAATTGGTCGATGAGAAGGAAGCTGATGAGGATGTAATGTAATGATGAAGATCGACCGACTGTCATGCACGCCTTGTCAAAGTTTATTTATTCTGACTTTTGTTGGCTCTGTCTGCCTCTGCCACAATCTCAAGCTCTCATTTTCAAATTCTGTTGGGTGGCTATCATATGATGATTAATATTCATTTAAAATAATAGAAAATTTGGCATAAGTCCAATTATGAGGAGAGATTTTGGGTGCAATCCACGCAGAAATTGTTGTTGATCCAAGTCCTTTGACTTTTGCGCCATATAAGATTACATGCCTTTTTCAATTTATTGATATTTACTTTTATTAATTTTTTATTTTTTGTTCCAGTTATGCACCTAAAACATAAATAAGGTAAATTATGAATTCGTAAAACTGGTAAGTTATTGATT